GTGGAGTTTAATCTATATTAATAATTGTAGCCTTATTTTATCACTGCTTAACTTTTTTTCTTTTTTCTTTTCTTTTTTTCTTTTTCTTTTTTTTTCTTTTTTTACATACAATTTGACTTGGCACTGTTCCTCTTTTATTGTTAGATAACAGGATTCCAGCATGTTTATTTATCAAACTCTATTACAGAGGAAGGAAAGGCAGGGTTGTTGGATGGAGAATCACCAACACGCTTCAAACGCGATTTGGTGGACTACCTCACATCATACAAAGCCCCAGATCTTACAAGATGGTCACACATCATTAAGAAATACGACTTTACCAGCTGCAAGTAAGTAACGTTAATGTTTTCATGTTTCAAAGATTCAGAGGGATTCCAAATCAGCTTGTTAGTTTATATTTAAGGGGATTTGAAGAGAGTATTTAGTTATGGATATCCTGTATATATCTTTAAAGTATGTATAATGTACAGTACATTTGAAATAACACAGACATTGATTCTGATTAAGTTCATTACTGGATAGCACAGACGACCTAACTATGCAATCAGTCATTGATACCAAATATTAAGGGAAAAAAATTTCCAACATATTGTATATCATGTTGTATTTCCATTATATAAATGCCTTACCATACAATAACAAAAATCTCATACAATCATTATTCCAAAATCTTGATAAAAAAACTAACAAGTATACCATGTCCTATCAGTGCGGTGTTTGTGGGCAGCAGTCCAGGCTACCACGCAGGAGAACACAAGGACAAGTGGGGCCACATGAAAGCACGCAGGGCCATTCGGCAGCACGGCGGATCTTGGACCTCCTCTGTGCCCGTCATTGCTCAGTGTTCGTCTATAGGTAAGAGTGGTGTACATTCTCTGGTCAATGATGATATTGATATTTGTGAACTAGCTACTTGTATGTATTGTTTTTGCATGGGTTTGTTTCTCGGTGAAGGTTTTTTTTTGGTTTGTTTATTCAAGTGATAGGTACAGTATGTGTTTATTTTTAGATCAAGTATGTTCTTATTGTGTTTATTTTTGTCTGAAATATGAAGTTCAAATAAGTTTAATGATTTACATTCCTGATTCATGTTTCCCAAACTTTCGAGATATTGCTTTTCTGTGACTCCCTTTTCTGTGCAATAAAGGGAGTTTGGGGAAAGACGCGAAGTCCTGGCTTAGTGGAGAGCTAGGGATGAGCCTGACTGGAGCGCCTGGTGTCTGTGCAAGCGCTCCGAAGGTACGTTGTTTATTGGATTTTGGTCACCTGTGAATGCTTGTTTGTTAACCCATTCACCCCAGATTTATGTTCTGTCCCCTGTGGTTTTTGGTGAATTTTGTTATATACAGATGGCTCCAAATGTGCTCAGCCAGCAAGGAGTCTATCAGTAGGCCCTAGTTACCGACCCTGATTTTCCCATTCATTGAATTGGCAGAAAATTAATACCATTACTATCGATACTGTTATTATTGTTTTTGATGTTATGATTATTATATTGTCATTAGAATATTTTAGACAATGAAATGATATAAAAAAACTCTTTCCTAAAGTGAAGGAAAGGGGTAAACAGGTGAAATAGATAGTTCTTGATAACTGGCTATTTGGTGGTTAAGAACTTGTGGAGCCACCTATGTGTAAATACAATAAATAAATGTGTATCAAAGTGGGCATGGCATCTATTCTTGCCACGTGGGGCGAATGGGTTAATACTGTTTTTTTTTTTTTTTTTCCTCTTCTTTTCCTTCTTCTTCTTTTTCTATCATTGTTTCTTTTCTTTTTATCATATCTGTATATATATATTTTTTTCTTTTATTTCTTTCTCACCTTTAAAAAATAAATAAATGAATAAAAAGATCCTTACTTTTTTTTTTTCCGTTTATTAAATTTTTTCTTGACTTTCTCTCCCTTTCTTTCTAATGTAAGTCCCTCCTTCCTTTCTGTTTTCATTTCTTGTGCAGTTTCTTTTTTTTTCTCTCTCTCTCTCTCTCTTCTTCTTTTTCTTCTTCTTTTTATTTCTCTTTTTCTTTTTCTTTTTTTTTTTCTTTCTTTTCTCTCTCTCTCTTTCTCTCTCTCTCTCTCTCTCTCTCTCTCTCTCTCTCTCTCTCTCTCTCTCTCTCTCTCTCTCTCTCTCTCTCTCTCTCTCTCTCTGTCTCTCTCACTCTCTCTTTTTATTTTTCTGACACACACACACAAAGACTCCATTGGCAGTTTGTAGTGAATTGAGATAAATCTTATACCCTAATGATTTAAATCCACATAGATTACTTTTCCTCCTCGAATGCAGGTGAACGTGATCTACCCGAGCGAAGATGACGTGTGCAACAGCAGCGAAGGTTGGATGGGGGGTTCATGTCTCCCTTATAATTCTGGAACGCACGCCAAACAGATCTGGCTTACCGAGTGTATGCAGTAAGTCTTTGTCGAAGGGGACTGGAGTGTCATCTGGATCGGTTTTGCAGTATATTTGGTCCATTGTTTTATGCTTAATGGGTATAAGGAGATGATAAACAGTTTATTTTGTGAGCATTATCATGTAGTTTATGTAACGCTGATTGTACTGTCATGCGTGATGGAAGGTTTATTTTTAGTGGGTTATTTTGGTTTGCATTGTCATGGTAGAATACAGAGTAAATTGAATTCTGGTATATACAGTAAATCTGCCATTTATATTGTGAGTTAGGATTCATACAAATCAGGTTTTTCACATGATGATTGGAGGAAAAAGATATTATAACTTGTTTTATTTACCAATTTTATTCCATTAGCATTGTAATGACATAGAGTATTTAATGCCAGCTCATAAAAAAACACCTCCTTCCTTACAAATTAAGACTTTGTCTCATAATTATCATTTATTTTTTATTACATACTAAGAGTTTCTATAACAGATTATTATAGTTTTGGAAATATCTTTCTCTCTAGCCCAGCATATGTTAAAAAAAAGAAAAAAAAAATTTCCCTACTGCTGGGTTATATGACTGCTAGAGTTATTTAAAGGAAGACAGTTAACAGTTCTGAACTGGAAATAACATTCTTTTATAATTCCTTGGTTTGTTATCTAAAGGATATGCATCTTTGCCATCACAGCTGTTGGCGCAGTGACAGGAGAAAAAGAACGCGAGTCATGCCACACATCAAGACCTACACCCGCTTGAACAAGAGCCAGTCGGCTGCGCAATTTTTCCTCTTAACCTCGGCAAACATCTCCAAAGCTGCCTGGGGTACACTCCAGAAGCAGAACACGCAGTTGTTTATTAGATCATACGAAGCTGGAATCTTACTTCTACCGAAGTTCCTTGTGAGTCTGTGTTTGGATACGTTTATTCAGTAGGACTGTCTTTATTTTAGTCAACTTTATATGTATCATTTCTTTAAGTACCATCCCCCCTGACTCAAAATGCACCACTGAGCACTGCTGTTAAAGTGTTTCAGAAACAAGGTTTAAAATTGGCAACTCACAATTCAGCAACACATAGTGGTGACCTTGGAAGTGAAGGGGACAATGCATTTGATTTGCATGTGATCATGCTTTAGTCTGAGGGTTATGTGTAAGGATATATGTTCCTACGTCTCAATAGCTTTTAGAGGATCAGTATGTGTGTCTTTATTATGCATGAAAAAGCCATGCATCTATACAAGTGTTTTTAGAAATTGAAGTTCTCAGGACACATTATCCATCTTTTATATTCCTGGCTCTCTTATCAACACACCTTTTACATATAACTGAAGTACCACATCCTCAGGAAAGCCTTAAACCATTTTATTAAATTGCACCAATTATTTTTTCCACATCTGTATAGTCCTTTGTTTTCCAGACCGACACCTCTGAATTCCCATTAAGTGCCAAGGACCTCTCGCTGCCTTACGACGTTCCGCTGACTCCTTACCCAAGCGGTGCGATCCCCTGGTTCATGAACACAGAGAAGAGCCGCCCGGACATCTTTGGCCGAACTTATCCTTGATACATGCCCTGTGTTGATGGAGGAGCACAAAACTGCAGTATCTATTTCTCTAAATCTTTATCAATATTTTTGTTTGGATGTATGAAGGTAGTGGAGTTATTTTATTTTTTCTTTCTTTCTTTCTTTCTTTCTTTCTTTCTTTCTTTCTTTTTTTTACAGTCTTGTAATTAATTTTACCTCATTACTTTTATGATCTGATGAAAATGTTTATAGTATGAGAGAGTGCTAGTAGTTTTTTTAATGACATTTGAGAAAAGACAATATCTATAATGTATTTTTATAACTTCTGTGGAGTTCTGATACATTTATAAAGCTTTTAACCATCTGAGATCTGAAAAAAGTAGTTGAAATTGCAAGCATGTAGCTATGTATTAAGTGGCTTGCTGATGTTATTAGATTATAATTAGGAGTTGCCAGCATAAGCTAAACAGACAGTAAATTTAGCATTGTAATTTATCATTCTGTGTTAACTAAATAAGGGAGGTGTTCTTATGACAATCAGTCTACTTTGAACTTACTGGAAATGTTTGTTTGAGTACACCTCTTCAAACACTTCACATAGTCGTATAATTTTTTTTTTTCCTGCGGTGTCAACATTTAAGAGCTTTAACAGCATATTTATATATAGTGATAGGGTGGGGCTTGGGGGGAAAGCCCCTGGTTAAGAATTATTTTTGTTCATGTGGATTTCCAGTTGATAATTGTGCTAGACATCAAAGGGCATATAGCATTATGAGAAAGGTCAGAAGGAGGAAATGAAGAAGAGAAGGAAAAGGAAAAGGGGAGATGAAAAGACACCTGCAAAATTAGTTGAGACGAGGGCTGAGGACCAAGGGTGGGCTGATCCCTGGGTTTAGGCCTCAGTCTCCGTCTACTAAACCCCCCACGACAGCAACAAACAAGGCATGGGGGGGAGTGTCTTATAATAAGGTGCTTTCTTGAAAAATATATATATATCACATGTTCTAATCATGACAATAATGGAATTGAAACTCTTGAGGTCTTCTTGTATGATGATGAGATGAGTTGACATGTCAGCATCAGGGTATGACTGCAGTCAGCAGATGTCTGGTTTAGTTTGCCCCTTTTTACTCTCCACAGATGTGTCTGCTCCTATTTACAGCTTTGTATATCTGTCTCTCTGTGTTGGTAATTGTAGAGGACCTCCTCTTGCACCCCCATGTATGTATTTTATTCATTCCTGCCTCTCAGAAATCAAAATATCTGTAGAAGCAATGTATTATCCACAAATGTGTCCCAGCCGCAAGAAAGGGGCAAGATACTGGGAGTCAGGCATTGGAAGTTTAGGCGAGTGGACATGGTATCCATTTCTTTATTCCCAAGAGCTATGAGAATATGAAACACGATGGTAAAATGTCCAGAGGAGCTCCTGTTCAGCTGTGGGTGAAGAAATGTACCAGTTGACTATGACTGATATAAAAAGAGGATCTATACTCTGGAGAACTTGTAGAAGACTGATATGCATAACCACATGTTCCACCTCATTCCAAGTCATTAAATGCTCTCTTTTCCTTATTTCTCTCACTTTTAAGAACCATCTAATCCTTAAAAAGTCTGTTGCATTTTGGACCTCACTAAGTGCATATATTGCTATTTAGGGAATGAACTGAGAAGTTTATATTTTTTGTAGGTGAAAATGATGTTCTTTTCCACACGTATGCCATATGCCATGCCATGCCGTATGTCATGTTTGTCAGATTTTACATGTACTTTCCCCAGTGGCTATATCAGTGCTCTTTCATTCCTTTGTAGTTAGAGACGTGATTTAAGTTTTTCTTGTTATAATAATATCACTAGTTACACAAGTGTACTAAGCTGCCTTCTTGGTCAAGTATTTTTATTAAAATATTGATGAAACTTGAGGCATATTTTTGTACTATAAATAAATGGAAATGTTTTTACATGTATAGCTCAAGTTACCTGAATGTTGCTGGGTTTTTGAATATATATCAAGTGCACAGTAGTAATATTTCCAACAGGGGAAGGACTATTGTTTAAGTTACATATTTATAGAATATTAGATATCAGTAGTAAAGCCAGGATTTCACTTGTCTTAGAGATATTATCAGGGGATCTAAGGGAGACCCTGATAATTCTTTCACAGGCAATGATGATTTACAGTCTATGATCATCTTGGAAAATTGTTAAGTATTTTTATGCTGTTATAACAACATGAAAGATTATTTGGGGCCAGCTGAGATGTGCTATCAGGAGGAATGTTGCAGTAATTGGAACCAAAATGGGTTGTTGGGCAGGCTGGGGTGGCTTTGAGACCGAGGGCTGTGTTTGGCAAGTGGAACCGGGGCCAAAGAGAGAGGAATGAAAAGGAAAGCTTTTCTGAGTTTGCTTAGTGTAATCAAAGTCAGTCTGTACCAAACCTTGAGCCTCATTTATGCACACTTGATCTTGCCCCTATAGTCAGGAGCACAGAAAGGCTGACCAATTATTTAATGGAAAACAAAACAAACAAAAAAAAACATGCCGAATACAGCAGACACTATTACAACAACACAGAAAACAAAATTTAAAAACAAGTGTTCTCAAGCAACACATCAGTGTATAACCACTAAAGAGGTGTACAGCAGCTAATAGGATAAATGTGTTCTATTTTAATTGTAAGAATTATTTTTTTAACTTATTTTTAGTGCTCTGATTCAGGAATATATTGCTCTGGACATGTCTAAGCTAGGCAAGACCATTATATATTTCTGAAATCAAGTGATCATGAATTTTCCTGTATATGTAGACCGTTTCTCTTAAATCAAATGTTTATAAATTGTATCTGTACATAAGTGCATTTTCTCTACACTCAGGGCTTTCTTGTATAGTCCTTCATCATTTTTCTTTTTTCATGGAGCAGCCAACTTGCAGCCCACAGTGTGCCTACTTCAATATATTGCTTTTATTTTGATGTAATAATGTATCACAATCTCACACTAGATTGTTGTTTCTACTTTCACCCTATAAAGATGATAATAAGAAATAAGTGGAAGTATTAGCTATAATTAAGAACCAGAGAGGCTTTGAACTTCAAAACAGTAAAATAGTCATCAGGTATGCCTTAAGCCACTAACCCGCAGGGTACTTTAGGAATAAAATGTAACAACACAAAAGAAAAGTCAAGGCCTCAAGAAAAAATGAAAGATAATTGTTGTTACTATTATTATTATGATGATTATAGTTATTATTGGTATTATAGCTGTTATCATTATTATTGATGTTTTTATTATAATTACTATCATCATCATCATTATTATTATTATTTATTTTTACTTATTTTCTTATTTTTGAAATGACTACTTTTGACAAATTTTGACAAATTTGATGTTTAAACATAACAAACAGTAATAAGTAATCCATCTGGAATGATGCTGTTATGACATAGATGATTGTGGCTCATAAGGAAAAAAGTAATTGTAGGCTGCACATATTTTGTGGGAGGGAAAAAGCATGAAGTTTTCCAAATATTTTAATATTAGTCAATCAGCATTTCTCTAAGCTAGCATAAAAGGATGTATATATTATGTCATCATCTGAATCTTCTCTATTTATACAGTTGTGTGTATTAATTTATTTGGAGACAGGTTAACTTGGAAATGTGAATATTTACACATTTACAATTAGTGTGGGGTAAGAGGAGCTAATAATTATATGAGATGATTTACACATGAGAAAGATCACCCATTCTCGCAATTTTCCTTCCTTTTCCCATATTTATCTCGGTACCTCCCTGTGCTTTTATCTTGACAGAATTTTCTCGTCCCTTTTCGTCTCTCCCGCATGTATCTTTGTATTTTCCGAGCGCTGCCACTCAGATGTCCATGCCGAGGGTGACCTGGTAGACGGCCTCCTCCTCCCGCCGCACCGTCGCCAGGATCTTCGCCCGGAGGCCCGACGTCTCGGCTTTGCGGTACTCTTCGGCCTCGATGAGGTAGTTGAGGCCGTCGAGACCCCGCGTGACGTGGCCGAGGTGGAAGGCGGACACTTCGCTGATGTCCCTCAAGGCCACGCTCAGGACGGGTCTGCCCGTGAGCTGGTGCTCGAGCAGGACGTCCCCTTGGCAGACCTTCCTGCAGCCGACGGAGGGGAAGCCCCGCCCCCCGTCCACGACAGTCACGTCGGGGAGGCTGACCTTGACGACCCGCTGCACGCCGGCCCCTGCCTCTCGGCCCCCCTGTCCCTCTACGGCCATGTACGACCCCACCAGCCGGGACTTGTGACGCCCCCCCATCATGAACTGTTTCTCGACGATGTTGAGCGCGTCGTCGGCGAAGGAGAAGCCGGCCCGGGTCCTGTGCAGCATCTGGGGCGAGAGCGCGGCCGCGTGGTGGCGCCGCGTCAGGTACTCGCGGACGTGGTTGCTGGAGGGCTCCACCACCAGCGTCACCTCCGTGTCGCGCAGGTCGCTGATCTGGAGGAAGTACCTGCAGGGAGGGAAGGGGAGTTCCTCATGAAACCCAGTGGGCCAAAGAGGAAGAGCAAAAAAGAGAGTGAGACGATAAAACAGAAAAGATGAGGGCAGAAGAATGCGGTTCGGAAAGAAAGGGGTTATACGTATATACATACAGAGTGAATCCAAAATTCCAACCCGTATCATTATACAGGAAAGGGGTGGATATTGCGCACCTTATCTCCGGGTTGAAGATGACGTAGGGCAGGAGGTTGTGTAGCACCATCTGGCGGGCGTCGTGGGGGAAAGATTTCTCGCGCCCCCGGGGACTTGGACTCCTGGAGCTGGTCTGTTTGAAATAGGCCACTATATAAGGGGGGTGTAATAGTTCATTAATTATATTGATGACAATTAAAAGACGTATTTTTGTATAATAATTCCTTGCAGAGAGAAGAATACGTGTAGATAATTTAAAATGATTAGCTTTATTTTAGATAATATTAACTGATTAGTTTTATTTATAACGCAAAGCTGATGTGAAAACTAAAATCAAGCTTTGTCTCAAAAGAGTAAGAAGTCAGAGACAGAGGAAAAAATATGTAGAAAAAAAATATATTAATCTTCAAGTAGCTTAACACTGCATTACCTTCGAAGGCTGTTTAGCATGCAGAGTAGTGTTAGCCGTATCTGTGGCACCATTTTCGGGGAGGTAAGGTTCTAGAAGGTGGCGCAGATAGATCCAAGGGGTAGCTATCACCCAATCCCCCATTCTGAGGATTGGAGAGAGAGAATCAGAGAATCGGATCGTAAGTAGAAGGATGGCTGAGGATGATATCTATTCGTCCACTTATAGTTCGGGTCTTGGATTGGGTCGTCGGCGTGTGGTTGGGGGGGGGAGGCAAAAGAGTCCGGAATGTCTGATGACCAAATGAATGAATAAGGAAACAGATGAATACCAAATAGATAGCTCGATAGCAGGTGCAAAGTCAAAAGGATCACGATATCTGAACCACGGCAAGAATAGTAAGAAATTCGGAGGGAAGGATATTTAGAGCATACATATTTGTGTACACACACATACACATTCACATTTGCATGCAAATACAAATACACAGAAATACACACACACACATACATACATATGTGCATGTATGTATGTATGTATATATACACACATACATATACATATATATATTGATAAACCCTGCTTGGAAAGTCCCACCTCAGAAACACCTTATCGCTGGCCGACTTATAGCCGGCCAGGAGCTGACACCTCAGCGCCAGGAACACGACGCCGCCCCAGTCCTCCTGGCGGCCCTCCCACTCCCGGATCTTCGCGCTGAAGCGGTGCAGGTTTCCCTCGCTCTCCACCAGGACCTCCGCCTCCGTCACCGCCTGCTGCAGGTAGTCACCGCTCTCGATCTTCAGGCGGTCGGCGATCTCCATGCAGGCGTGCGTCTCGAAAGGGAAGCCATTTTGATATTAATTTTGTAATTATTATTATCATTATTATTATTATCATTATTATTATTATTACTATTATTATTATTATTTTCATTATTATTTTCATTATCTTTTGGTTTTTGTGTTTATACACGAATTTTACATTTCGGTTTCATTAATTTTT